CATAGCCTACTTCATTATATTTAACAGCAAACCCATTGCAGAAATGATATTATGAAAAAGAGTATTTTTATAATATGGTGCCATCACTAGCTGCTACGTGCTGCAGATCAGCACTGATTCAAACCAGAATCATAAGAGCTTATTTAGATGTTGTCAACCCTACTATTTGCTTCTTCTTACATTGGAGTTTGGGTTTTTAATTTTGGGGCTCTCTACTATAATCCACTTGGACGTAAATCACCTCTGGGCAGTGGCAATCTACCTACATACATTATTTACGAAGCTGGTTCCCAAATGTACCCTCCATGGTGCGCTTTGTATTCCTGCCATGCCAACATCACTTTGATAAGATTGAGCATGAATGTGCACCACGATGAAGCTATTGCACATGCAGTGGTATGAGCATTGGTTTCTGCCCTGAATCCTGTAATAATCCCAAGTCTTGACAACAGCCAAACAGCTTTGCTGCAGGCATTCAGGCCTAATGTGCAAGGGTCTCCTCAGCACTCTAGAGTTAGGGTAACGTCTGAGTGAAAAATACTGTCAGTCCTAATCTCAAAAAGTTAAAGACTGGTTGATTTCCTAGAAATATTTTTCTTACAGTGCCCTCCATCAGTCAGCTGTACTGCTAGTGAAGCAGACATGTAGTGATAGCAATGCAGCCTGTTTAAAACCTAGAGAAAGTGAGGCAGCATGAGAAGATACCCAGAGATCCCACTGAAAAGGTGTTTGTTTAAATGAATCTCATGACTGAGCTGAGGAAAAAAAAGAGAAGGCTTAGATTTCGCAATCAATGTGTTGTTACCCTTCAGCTCATAAGAAAATCCTTTCCTGAAGAATCAATTAGGATAGGGAGAGTAGAAATAGAACATATATACAGAAGCCTTATCTTTCATTTCCCAATTTTCTAACTTTAATGGGGGCAACCTGCATATTATGATGAATTCTAACATGACTTTTAAGAGGTAGGCATGTGCATTTCATAGCTCCATGTACATAAAGGCCAAGGGTAATTCCTGATTCAGAAAAATCTGCATCACTCTGCTAAGCCATAAATTAGTGCTTATGAACTACAGTGGCTATACATATGTGAACCTGCTTCACATATTTATTTAGCTTAACATGGTAAGAGCTATTATACATGATTAACTGATTATCTTGTCATTTGGTGTATTCACTTAAAAACACATTTACTGCATGTCATAAATTAATCCAAAACCCCTATCTGGTTTCTTCCTGATAATGGCTTTTTAAAAGTTTTATATGCAGTCTGCATATAAAATGACTACTACTCAGTAAAAGAATGAAGAGAAATACAGAAGCCATGGTTTCATTTAGGCTTGTTAGCAACAATATAATGGTAACCAGAAAAAGTCAACACTGTAGTTAATCAAAGAGCTGCACCAAATAGTGGGATGAACTTTTAGCCATTGGTAAAACATGGTAAGTGAAATTAAATGAAGTAAATTAGATCTATAACCAAGGACCTGTAAGTTGTAAGACTGGCTGTAGGGTTCCTATCATGCTGGCCCAAAGGACACCTGAATGCTGGAGAACACTAGCTTTTTTAAAAAAATGAACCTCTGAATATCATAGCTCCCTCCACTTATTATTACTACATATTATTATTTGGAACAATGTGCATGTAACCCAAGCCAGCCAGGAAAAAGAAAGTGGAGAAATCAATTTCTATTGTCAATCTACTGTTTCTCGACATTTATATTTGGGGAAACCTTGTTTAGTCCATGTTTTTGGGAACTAGCATCTACTTTGTAAGTCACAATACCATTCTTTATGCCTCAACAGATCTGGCTGAAAATTGTTAAAATAATTCAGCTTTAACATGAGTTTTAAAGTAGGAATGTGAAAAGACTAAATAATTCTAATCTAGAATGTTACAATTTTAGTATGATATATTGTTAGTCAAAACTGTCCAACCTGATTGCTTTTGCAATCACAACATTATTACCTAAAACAGCATTATCAACTTACTACCTAGTCCAAATAAACACAAAAGGCTGTATTTTTTTATTTGCTTCGAAGCAGATTCTGACAAAATTGGCAGGCAAAATAGAATGGAAAGGAGCTTGCCAAATTTAATCACATCAGTTCAGGGCTTTAAAAGTAATGGTCCTTTAAACTCTGAATTAGAAAAGGCTATAGATGAAAACAGAATAAAACACTTCTATTAAGTGAAGCACTAAGTTAAATGAGTTATATCAGGCCAAAAAAACCTGCTTAATGCAGCAAACTAAAATCAGTAACCACCAGCCTAGTATAGGAAGAATTGCTAGAGTTTGCTGGCCAAAACAAGAACTCTTTGGCCAAAATCATATTAAAAACAGTATTTTCCCATCTTGGGACAATACTGAGAACTGAGTGGGCTGGTTCTGTTCATCTGATTATTAAATGGACTCATATTTGAAGACCTAAAATTCAATCACTGAAATCCAGTCACTGAAATTTAATCACTAGTTCTTTAGGTTCAAACCAAATGCTGGTTTGTAGAGAATGATGAAATGGTAAGTAGACAACAAGGAATGTAAAAAGGTCTCTATCAGTTGCTCCAACAGTATGCCAAGGCCTGGAATGACAGCTTCAATCTAATGGAAACTACCCAGATATCTAATCCCTGAAGGCAATTCTGGGACTATTCTGCATCACATCGCAGGCTCCTCCAAGTAGCACAGAATTTTAGGATTTAAGTGACTATGAAGTAAACAGTTACAGTATTAACATGAAAAGAACAATCAACGCCAGGCATGGCAGAATAGATTAAAAGGGCCACAGTAACTTGCAGGCGAATATAAGCCACTTGGAGAAGACATTTCCCATTTACTATATTCCTTTGTGTCCAAGAGAAGCATTTTTGTTCATAGCCCCATCCTCATGCTCTAAAGCAGCAGAACCCTAAGTGGGACCAGAACGTTGTGGAGATCTAGATTCAAATGAAAGTGAAAGTGGAACGATTCTATTTCATACCAGATATCCCCAAGTTATTCCTCTTTGCCTCTGGTTTCAAGGATTGCTTGGATCTAATGTACCTTTCTAACATCTGAATATAACTGGAACCAACAGGTTGGATCAATACCCAAGAGGATGGATTCTGCCAAGGAACCGGATAAAGGAAAAAAATGGCCAGCTGAATTCCAGATCATTATCTGCTGTATCATTTGATGACCCCAAGACACTCAACAACTAGCAGTACATGGCTTTTATAATCTTGTAAACTATGACAATACATGGAAACAAAAATAAACCAATGTTACAATGTGTGTGTGTGTCGGTGTGTGTAAATGGGCTGTAACTTTCAGTTTCTTCAATAATTTTGGGGAAATTAGTTCATGGGGAAAATTTTAATCTTTCCAAGCAAAAAACTAAGAATTCAATGAAGCTGCATCAGCCAAGTGTTGTGAGAAAAACCATGAGTGTATTTGCTTAAAATTATCTGTTCTTTTTAGAAATGAAACTCCTCAATGAACAGGTTGTATAATCCTCATTTTCCTGTCTGTTTCAATGCCTTTCTGGTTTATGATTCTATATGCCACCATAGATAAACAACATGTAAACTTTTAAGCAGTTAAGGCAAGTTAATATTAAAAACTAACTTTAATATGGGATAGCAAAATAATCATAGCTCATTATACCAGTTGCAATTATATATTATTTTTTAAATAAAAAAACAAGCAAAAGTTTATTTAATAAGGTAACATCAAATTAATTAAAATCAAGCCTGATTCATTTGTACTTGCATTGACCATGTGTAATGTGGTGTGATTCCTTTAGAAACCATTCAAGCATTTCACCATATGTGGAAAAACAGCAGAAAAGGTCTTGGCTTTCTCTAGAAGTGCTCTGGCAACTACTACTTGAATTCCCAGGTAGCTTAACTTTCATTATGCAAGCATTCATATCTGAGCCTTTGGCTACAACATATTTGATTCTGTTTCAGATTGATAAACAGTGTAAGATTTACTGCCAGCAGTGAAGACATTCTGATGCTACCAAAACAGGAGAGCAAATCTGGGATTACGGGTAGTTCTCATTTAACAATCCTAATTGGAATTGGGATTTCCATTACTAAGCAATGCAGTCATTAGGCAAAACATCACATGGCCACATCATTTATTGATAGCAGTTTCAGTAGTCCTGATTTGGTAGTTAGATCAGGATGTATCACTGCTAGGTGAGAATGAGACCTCACACTTCTTCCCTGTCATGGTCGCTTCCTCACCCGCCTATCTCCCCTCAACTTTCTCTTTTTTAACATATAAATATAGTGTATGTTTCCTGAACTGGTGGAGTGCAGAGCAGCCAAAACAGCAGAGATGAGGGGGATTTCTTAAAATTATAATTTTAAATGCGGAATGTGCTGCCAAACACCTGAATTTTGCTCATGTGATCGTGGGGGCACTAAAACAGCCATAACTTCAAGGACCAGCTGTAAATACCATTAGTTCAAAGTTATAACTTTGAACAGTTGCTGAACAAATGATCATTAAGGGAGGGCTAGCTATATACAGGATTTAATACTTTATGATATACTTCCTGAAATGTTTCAGCAGATGCAGTATGAAGCTAACTTTGGGCTGGAAACTAAGTGGGGTCAGGGTTCATTATAATTTGGAACTCCCACAAGGATTTTGCTGAATTAGTAGTTGGATGGGAAACCTCCAGGAATAGAGATTACAGAGAACATATAAGAAGACAGTGGCAATGTAAATTGCAGGAGTTGTGTTCAACAGACAAATACTAAAGATAAAATGATTTGTGTGGAAGAAAGTCAGATCAATTCAACATTAAAGATCTGCCCAGATTCTGGAATTAAATGTAACTAGGGGCAAAAATCTATCTTAAGATGAAACTATTTATCTGGCTAAATATGTTTATATCATACAGCATCTTCATGATTAAACACTCGTACACGCGACTGAAAAAGCCTTGTGTAATGCAGTCTGGGGAATTGTTGGCCACCAAGTATGAGCGGCGGAGAAACTTACCCTAGAAATGCCAACAATCTGCTCATCTGGAAGTAAACTGATGCGCACAAAACAGGATTCAAAATTAACATCTTCCTTCTCCATCAGATCTTTTCCCTGCAGCAAGGTGACATACAGGGTATTTGAATTTACATTGTATTCCATGTTAACTTCGATTTGTCCCACTGTGAATTCCTGGCCAAAGTTATTTCCAATGGAGGAGACAGAAGTTAGAGAGTCAGTGGAGATTGATTTTCTCAATGGCCCATAAGGAGTCAGCTCCAGGTCTTTGTTCATCAGCTCCAAGGTCCCCAACTCATTAATATTTTCAAAGGCATCATCCATTTTCAAGCTTTGCTTGCAGACAGGAGATATTCTTTCTCCTGTCTTTCGGAAGTTGCTTGTCCTCTGCAAACGATAAGAAAAAACAGAAAGCTAGTTAGAGATCATGGTTAACCTGAACTTCAGCATGCTAAATATAGAACATATAATTTTTAATGATTTATAAACATAGGCTGGCAGAAAAAATGTTCAGAATAAAATGGACAAAAATATTCCATATATCATGAATATAAGTTTTCACATTATGGAAAAACTGACATCTCTATCCAGAAAAGATTCCCTTAGTTAAAATGAGATATTTTTTCAGTGCAAAGAAACATTGAAGAAAATTACAGCTGAATTAAAAGTTGGGTCTTCCGGATGTTCATTGCATTGTTGTTTGAAGCATTACAACTACTTTTTAGGAAGTGCTACTAGCATTACTATAATATCATCACAAATAACAATGGCAAGAGATTAACTACATTGTTGATACTTGGAGTGCTGCCCATTTTATTAATAATTCTGGTCCTGTGGAATGATCAAAGGACTGATGGTGATTCTTAATTCTAATTTATTTTCAGGCCACACACATTTATTTTCTGTTTTCAATTCTGAAGCCAGTTTTATGCCTTCCATTTCTTTGTGGTGCACATTACCTTTATGGACTACATTTCATCCTATCAATATTTATGTAGAGATCTATACACTGTTTTGACAAAAATGATTCTAAATTTAAGTTCTGGAGGAGAAAACAAGCGAGAGTCTTCAGAAAATGTACCTAGGAGAGAAACTCTGTGTATGCAATGTTGTTTAAACTGTGCCTGAAATGGTGCAGTCTATAGATAATGCCTTATTGAGAGTCAGTTTGGTGCAAATAGCTCAGTTTTGTCTACATTAAATAACAGCGGCTCATCAGAGATTTAGACTAGGGTCTTCCCAGATCTATCCTGAGAATGACAGGAACTGACATGGAGAGCCTCCACATTTTAATCTTCAAATTCACAATTTACTATTAGACAACAACTCTTTCTAGTGCTTGTTAATTTAATTAAAACATCACTAACATCAACATTCTCCAGGTAACTTTTGCACAATGTAAAAATGAGATTCTGAAACAAAAATACCTCTTTTGACTTCAGATATCTGCACATACATAGGCAGGTAATCTTGACTCTGCTGTATAATGTAAAATTGGAATTATGGCTTCATCTTTTAAAACTCTCATTCGTGATGCACTATATTAATTCTGACTGAAGATCAATAATCCAACATACACAACCTCAGGTTTCCCTTTGTTTGCCAATGTGAACACCTCTACCGAAGGCTTCAAAACCACATCTAATCTCTGCTTCTTGCATTGCCATGTTCCTACCAGTCTTCTCTGCCTGCCTATGCTTTGGGTATGAAAATAAAAATGTTTGTTATACCCATTTATGAGCCAAACAACTATGGAGAAAAAAAAGCCAAAAGTGTATTTAAGGAAATGTGTTATTTTATAACATTCCCACAAACCTATTCCCAGAGGACTGTGTAATCTATTTTATATATGTATTCTGAAAGAAAATATAGGATAAATCGTTCTCACTCAAGCAAACAGGAATATTTAATATTAACATTTAGAGAGTCTTTCTGTTCTTTGACTGGATTTTACAAAAAGATACCTTCCCCAAACAACTTTCATTTTAAGATGGACTCTGAATTGCTGACTTCTTGGCTGAAATTTGGGACTTTCTGGCTTCTCCCCCATCCCTTGCTTTTCTAACATGCCTGAATAAACATTCGAAAGCTTCTTCAGTCATTTTAAGGCATTTTGGTTTACTCTAGTAAAAACAAAAATATTCAACTATGAATTGGGGGCGGGGAATGGGAAGGGCCCATGGAGTAACATAACTGTATTACTTGTTAGGCGTTTATGAGAAAACATCCAAGAGAAATCTGACCATGGTCATTGACTTGTTTCACTGAATAGAAGCCTACATTATGTATTGTTGGTTTGGGGGATTTGGAAAGAAGATTGTTGAATGGCCAGAAAAAAAGAGTTAGAATCCATCAAACTTATTGGTCAAATCTCAGTTGATCATCGCTAGGGAGACTTAAATTGTGCCCTCTACTTAAACTTACTAAATTACTTTAATTTCTTTGTATTTTTTCTATGTAAAAACTTAAGAGATTTTCTTTTCTTTTTCTTTCTTTCTTTTGTGTGTGTAGGGGGAATATAGGTTAACACTTACAAAGAGCAGGATCTTTTCTATCATGGGACTTCTACTAGTCAGAAACCAGTTGGATAAATGTTGAGTTTCTTCTTTTTAAAAATAGAACTTTATTGAAAGTTTAAAAAACAAGAGTAAATATTGATACAAACCAAAACAGAACAAGGAAAAAAGGAAGCAATAGAAGGGGTAAAGTGGAAAACAAAGCAGAAAAATAGAAAAGAAAGAAAAGATATAAAGAGGTGGCTACTGATCTTCTTTACAGCAATTGTTAAGTACAATTGCAAATTTACCTCCTTCTCTAAAGTTAGATCATGACTCTGTTCTTTCTATAATATAGCCTATCTAGCAGTCAAAATCTCAGATCTTCAGTTCATTTTTTTTGTTTTGTACAAAAGTCCGTAATAGTCAGCAATAAACATAGATATTAACATTTCTCTAACCAAACAGGTCAATTTGGGAGTCAATGTTGAGTATCCTTTAAGGCTTTCACTAATTTAAAAGTGCATTCTTTTATTCTGCATTAGAATAGGTTTTTATGTTTTACTGGATGACTCATACTATTGTGTTCCATTTATAGCAAGTCTGGAGTTTGTGCTTGACATGAATCTTGCCAAGATTCAACACATCAGGGGATGGTGAGTGAAATATAAAATATAGCACAAAGATGACTGTTAAGTCCTCTCCTTGCTCAGGACTTCTCCTTGAAAAAGCCTCGTTCCTGCCCCCTAATTTTTTCATGGTACAATTATTTGGTTTGATCCCATCAAAGGCAAATGGTTGAAGGGGGATGGATTTAAGAAAAGTGAAGAGGAAAAATAAACTTTTAACAATCTATCCCACCCATTGTTTTAGTACATTTAAATTTCTCTCAGGTGCTATCACCACCACTACTGCAAATTGTACTTTTTAATTTGGCAGAAGAATGTTTTAATCAATTCAGTATTATCTCAAAATTTTTATCTAAGATGACTAAGCATTTATAAGCAATTAAAGAAATCAGCAAATGGAGATGGCTGTGGCTAAGGGCTAAAGTCCTTGTGAGTTTCTTCTGTCTGTATTAGATAACAACTGAATTTTAAAGCCTCTACATTTTCTATAGATTTCTTACATTTATATATTGCCAACCTGGCCAGTGCACATAGCAGTTCACAGGCAAAAACCTGGGATTCATAATGTAATAGCTACAATATCAAAAAGGAGGGGGGAGAGAGAAGGGAGAAAAACAAATTAAGTCAGGAACCACATGAGAGATAAGGAAGTGCCAAATGGCAGATGGTTTCAGCCTTTGCCACCAATGCTAGACTTTGTGCCCTTCCACCACCATAGCCGTGGTGGTGCAGTGGTTAGAATGCAGCATTGCAGACTGACTCTGCCCTTTGCCAGGAGTTTGATCCTGACCAGCTCAAGATTGACTCAGTCTTCCATCCTTCTGAGGTCAGTAAAATGAGGACCCAGACTATTGGGGCAATATGCTGATGTTGTAAACTAATCAGAGTGTGCTTTAAAGCACTGCAGTATATAAATCTAAGTGCTATTGCTGTATTTTATGCCTAGCTGAAATAATTGCTCAAGATTCTTTTCTTAAACCTACCCCTGTCTTTTCAGTTTCGCTATCATAATCACCACCACCTTAACTTGCAATATTCAAGAAAAAATTAAGAGTTGGATGTTCATTAAATGATGCTTGATGACATGCAAAGGGGATGGATGGATGGATGTGACAACAGATGGGCTTCTTAATACTGCTGTCACAATTAATTGCTCCTTACCTTTTGTTTGATTTGAGCATATGTGGACCCATACTTTTGTTCTAGGTATCTGTAGTCATAGTTTGGAAATGGAGAAGGTGCAGGATAGCCACCCGATTTCCATAACTTCCATAGGTTTACTCCAGCTATTCCCAGGAGAGCAAGAGCACCAGTAATATAGACACCTATTTCCCACTCAGATGGGTTTCTTATGACTGGAAGAAAACAAACTTCTTATTAGAAGAAAGCAGCCACCAAAGCCTTTCCATATTGCAGAAATATTTTATGTCAATAGTACAAATATGCCTTCTATATGATTAATGCTGTTGGTCTTAAAATATATACAGGATTGCCTCCCGTCGACCCTTGACCCATGCCAGTTTGCTTATTGGAATAACAGATCCACAGAGGATGCTATTGCCATGGCTCTCCACATTGCACTGGTCCATCTGGAGCATAGTGGGAGCTATGCAAGGATGCTTTTCATTGATTCCAGCTCGGCTTTTAATACCATCATTCCAGATATACTGATTAAGAAGTTTCTGGAAATGGGCCTCACATCTGCTGTTGGATAAAGGACTTTCTTACTAACAGACCCCAAACTGTAAGGATTGGCAGCTATTTTTTCCTCCACTCTTGCTCTCAGCACTGGGTCTCCACAGGGCTGTGTGCTGAGCCCCGTTTTGTATTCACTCTACACCTACGACTGCACTCCTTCTTGTCCCACTAACTCTATAATAAAATTTTCAGATGACACCATGTTGGTGGGACTCATATCAGGAGAAGACGAGACGGCGTATAGGTCAGAGGTTCTCAGACTGGTCTTGTGGTGCAAGAGTCATAACCTCACCCTGAACATCAAAAAGACCAAAGAATTGATTATAGACTTCAGAAGATGCAAAGCAGAGCCTCTCCCACTATATATCAATGGAGACTGTGTGGAAAGAGTTCATAATTTTAAATTTCTAGGAACTCATATTTCCAACAACCTTACTTGGTTGGTCCACACTATGGCCACTGCAAAGAAGGCCCAACAGCACCTGCACTTTCTGAGGTTGCTGAAAAAGAGTGGTCTGGGTGAGAAGTTGCTGGTTACTTTTTACCGTTCTACCATCGAGAGCATTTTGGCATACTGTGTAACTGTGTGGTATGCTGGATGCTCTCAGTGGATAAGAAGATGCTCCAGAGAGCTATAAACACAGCAGAAAAATTCATCGGTTGCTCTCTTTCTTCTTTGGAAGAGATTGCAAAGACCAGACTCCTCTCTAGAACACTAAAAATCTCCACAGACTGTTCCTATCTTGGACACTCATATTTCAAACTGTTACCATCAGGGAGGCATTATAGGTGTCTTAAAATGAGGACTAATATTATTGAGAAAGTTTCTTTTCCAAGGCAGTAATTGTCTTGAATCAAACAGTGCATTTGTGATTTAGTCCTATTATTACTATAATAATTATTTTAACTTTTAAATACTCTGTAGTGTGATTGTGATGTGGTGTTTGGGGCACTGTGCTGGAGTAGCTTTCAAATTTCATTGTATTCATGGAATGCAATAACAATAAAGGTATTCTATTCTATTCTATTCTGTTCTGTTCTGTTCTGTTCTGTTCTATTGAAAAAGGAGGAAATTGATACGCCAAAACTGCAGGGAGATTTTTTTTTCTTGAAAAATGTTATAAAGTAGCTGGAATATATGGCAAAGCACAAATACCTTTTTATTTTAAAAACTGAAAGACAGCATTGTTGTATGTAGGCATATACTGTATTCAGCAAAAGTGTAACTAGCTTAAACTCTATTAAGAACCACTGTAACAAATTCTAAAATATATTTGCTGTTTCAATCTTTGCAAATACTTTTCAGACTGAGTATCATTTTTTTTAAATTGACCAATGTCTCCTCATAGTGATTAGTTTCTTTTCTACAAGATTTTGAATCTTTTTTTCTGTTCTGTTTCCCTATTTGTCTGGACTACACATTAATAATATTTTTCTTTTCAGCAAAGAATGTATGACCAAGACTCCAACTTCATGCTTTAGGCTTCATATTGCTTCCTTTAATTATGAAATCTGTGAACAAGTAAACTCACAATCCGTGCTATGCCAAAGCCTAGTAGCACAACCATAACAACATATAACTTCTCTGCATATCTAAATCGGGGGTGTAAAAACAGCCCTTTATGACCTGTGGACTTTAAATCCCAGAATTTCTGAGCCAGCATGTCTGGCTGAGGAATTGTAGAAGATGAAGAACACAGTTGTAAAGGGGCCATAGGTGCCCACCCCTGATCTAAATCTTTATTTTTGATTTTTTTTTCTATTTCCCCAAACCTTCCTGAATATGAGACCTGGAAGTTCTTATGACTGCAATCTAACAGTACACTTTTGGGCATATAGGTGAGGAAAAGAGGAGGTGAAGTCAAGAAATAAATGTCTAAAAATCATTTCAAAGGTTCTGGAAGAATGACAAGTTTATGATTTCTTTCAAAAATGGATAATCTAATAGGCCCACTTAGTCAATGACCATTTCAGGTTACGAATACCTCAGAAAGGGTGCTTTATGGCCAATTTGTTAAGAATTCATACATTCATATTCATTAATACTCACCACTGAGATGCTGGTCAGCAACGTCACGATCCATAGTGACTACTTCAAATTACACCAGTTACCTGCAAGAACACACAAAGAGAAGCACAGACAAAGAGGTTATTATGGTACTGTCACCATACAGGACTGTCTAAAAGCACAGAAGGCTTGCCCTATATGTAGGGTCACATAAGGCGCTAATCTTTTTTCTGGTTGGCCCCATATTTCTTCCAGTTAGTAAATGTCATTCTACCACAATTTATCACACTATGTGAAAGCATCCCTTTGTAAATTTGAATTCCTTTTTCTTCCTGAGAAACATAATCCTCTAATGCAAGGGTCTTCAAACTTGGCAAGTTTAAGACTTGTGGACTTCAATTTCCAGAATTCCTGAGCTAACATGACTGGAGGAGGAATTCTGGGAGTTGAAGTCCACAAGTCTTAAAGCTGTCAAGTTTGAAGACCCCTGCTCTAATGCTACCTTGGCTACAGCAGGGCCAAGAGAGGCCTTTGCTCCTACCTTTAATTTATGCATTATCCCATTAAGGCAATGGGAAGATATGAAAGTGAACAGTGATATTTATACTGTACTAGTTCTTCATCCTGTTATGCTACTAACACAATTATATAGCACCTGTACATAGAAGCTTATCTTCATTACTATAGACTCCTTATGTGAAACAACACTTTGGTTGTGAGGCTTGTTTCACTATTAGTACCACTACAGATCCCTATTATGGTTAAGCTACCATAAAGCCAAAAAGTGCCTCACTTCTCCAGTTCTAGGATTCTAAACAAAGCAAATTATTATTAGCTTTCAATCTGTAAGTAATACAGGGGGCCTTTCATCAAATAAACAGGTATAGCATTGAAGCTTTAGTCAAAACAATCCACTATGTTTATAGAAACCTGAGATATTCAAAATGGCTGCTACCTTGTTTCCAGATAACTTACTGACCCTTTAATAGATGTATGAGGGCCAACAATCCAAAGATTGCAGCTTTCCCAAACATGAGCTGGAAGAAAATGGATTTTTGACAACCATGCAGGGATTATAAATCTGTGTCAGAAAAAAAAGAAGTGTACATGGAACCTTATTGGTTAATAGCTAGGTTCATTAATCTGCATCTTGAGAGCATTTTAAAATTATGCTGTAGACAAGACTATTATAGATCAGTTGCTGCTGAGAATTCAAACTACAGAGATTTCATTTCACACAGTCAGCCTTATGTTAAACACTTCAAGCTGCTTGTAATCAAACAGTGAAAGCCATTGGGGAATGAGGAAAGATTCAATGTCATAGTTAAAATCTGTAGGACGATTCCCTTTGGGAGAGTTCAGCTCTTTTTAAAAAACAAGCTTACAAATAAAAAAATTTTTTGAGGAAGAGTAAAAAAATGGGTGTATTATTTTAAGTTTCTAATTTTTAATGCTCTTCCAAGATGCTTCCCTTAACTAATATGGAACATTTTATACTGGCAAATGTGGCAATCCTATTAATTAAATCTTGGAATCTGTTTTCTAAAGCTTCTCATGCAGCAGTAGTGTCTGGAAATGCTGATAGACAAAATAAATTTAAAATCTCAATTTCTGTTCTGGGGATTTATGTGTGGTAAGATTCTAAAGTGTCTTTGGCTTTCCATGAGTCATTGGTACATGATGTTTTGTGGCAATATTTCATAAAGATTTGATTTTCAAATAGGGTATCTGGGATTAGTCAAAGAAGTAACCTGCCAATGAGGAAGGTCTGTTTTATTTTATATTCCTGAACGTTCTTTATGTACTGGTAAGGAATCACTACATTATTCCATTTCATGTTCAGCTAATGAACTATTGTATAAAGATTTGCCTGAGATCATCTTGTTTAGCTGATAATCTTTTGAACAGTTCCCAGTGTTTAACACCAATAATTTCCATGAAGATTTTTTTTAATCAAAGGGTTAAATGGTCAATTGATATACCTTGGGAAAAGAGTGTCCAAAAATTTCTGATTCTCAATATGCTGTGATTTTTGTGTGTATGTATTATTGTATGTCTGTGTATAGTACACACACACACACACACACACACACACACACACAAATATGTATCCTTTCTTTTTCTCTGTGTCTTTTTCTTCCCCTCACTCAGATCTTCTGGCAAACCAGACTTTAATTGTATCTATCTTGGAAAGTTTCCCAGGCTGCTTCACACATGTTTATCACGGAACAGCAGAAACTTCACAGCAGTGGATAAATATCATGATACTATCCTGAATGTGAGATTCCATATATAGGAAAACTCTCATGAAAGACAGTAGGCCAAGTATGATCAGCCAATCAATCAAGTGAATTTTCAGGACCTTGGACAGCTCTACATAACAACTTGCTCCAGCAAATCCTGGCATTCAACTGAGCCTATCCCTTTCTGATGGGAGCCAAGCATAGCCTTTGAGCCTCCTGTCAATTCTCAGCTGCTTGAATATCAAAGCATATGGCAAGAAGACATTCAGATTAATCTTGATTAGCGGGCTCAATATGGTTTGTCTCTCTCAAGAAGTAGGTCAATTCTGGTTTTATAATGTTTTGGTTTGGGTCTACCATCTTTATAGTCAGCACTTCTAACCCACGTCATCTGTCTTGCTCTTTTACTTTGGAATTGAAATTATGGTCACTGTTTAAAGGTTAGACTCAAGTCACCAATGTGCCCATTCCCCTGTTCCAAAAAGAAAATTCAAATAAAGGATACTTTAAGTATACATTTATGTGTCAGTTTACACAACAAAAAAAGTATTTTTACATAATGGTCTATTTTGTGTTAACCATAAGGATTACAATATTAAAAGTGATAGGAGACTTAGTGGTATGTTCTTGCATAATTTTGATTTTATCTTTGGGGTTTCTTAGGATGGCTGCTATTTTTCTGTCTGTTTTGAAGGCAGTCTTGATGTGATGCCTGTGTAGTATCTTACCGATTTTGTCTGTAGTACCTCTTATGTAGGGCAGGACAGCTGTTCCATAGGTCTGTTCATCTGCCCTACATAAGAGGTACTACAGATAAAATCAGTAAGATACTACACAGGCATCACATCAAGACTGCCTTCAAAACAGACAGAAAAATAGCAGCCATCCTAAGAAACCCCAAAGATAAAATTGACTTGGAAAACCAAGGCATATATGAAGTCCCCTGTGCATCATGCCCTGCCACATACATTGGACAGACCAATAGAAGAATAAGTACCCGCCTGGATGAACACAAAAATGCAGTAAAAAAGCTGGAACACATTTCCTCACTAGTCCAACACATGAAAGACATGAAAGCCACAGGTCATAGCATCAACTTTAATGGCACCAAAACCCTAGCCACTATAGAAAACCCCAGCCACAAAATTATCAGAGAAGCCATAGAGATTGAAAAAAGACCTGAAAGCATGAATAGAAGAGATGATTCCACCAGACTGTCAATTATTTGGAAGCCTGCACTCACAAACAAAAAAATCTCCACACAAGCCAGGCAAACACTTGGGCACAAACAGATCCCCCCTAATACCTCCAGCTCAAACACACCCCGACCAGGCACCCAGATGAAACCTAGCTTCCTAATAAACGATAGCCATCCATTTACTCGGAGCCAAGCTGCACTAAAAGCCTCCAATACAGGAACACAATGTTGCCAGCCGTTCAAGACAAAAAAAGCCACAAAACAAACAGAAGATATTAGAAACACCAATCAAGCAGAACATAGCAAATTCCAAGACCAATAAACACAGACCAAGACTCCCAACCAATCAGGATGAAGAAAAAACCATTCTGGCACAGCAGTAGGCTAGCCCCATATTTAAAACTGAAACGGCTGTGGAAGTCTGACTCACAGACGAACACAATACGGAAGCCTGATGATGGCAGATGAGATTCTGCTGAAACGTTGCTACAACTTTAAAAGCACAACTATAATGACGTGGGAAAATACCCGAACAAAGCTGAATACCATACATGTAAGTACCCGCGAAAACTTTATATATATGTGTGTGTGTGTGTCATGTATTGAAATGGTGGTTTATTTATTAATTTATTAAATGTATAAAGCTGACCAACTCCACTGTCACTCTGGTAAGTATATAATATAGATTAAAAAAACACAAACGAAAGAACAATGGGCTGGAAACAGAGCGTCAGCCTGGGGGTTGGGCCTGCACTTCCCAGGGCTTTCCCAGGGCCTCAGGGCACCCCATGCTCTGCTTAATGACCTCCACATTTCTTTATTTACCATATTAGTGACAGCAGGGCTGGGAAGGGTTGTAAGTGAGACAATAATATAGATGCTTCGCTTAACAGCCAACATCATTTCCAACCATAATGGGCAGGCTGGATTATATTCATGAACTGAGGATTACCTGCACATAAGAGGCCTATACCTGCTATAGCCCAGAGCCTAGAGAAAGAACTAGATCAAGTCTATCAAACTGGTGGCCCGCAGGCCCGATGCCTGGATCCAGGCTGGCCACGCCCTCCCCGGCTCCACAAAGCCAAAAAAGAAATCCTGATACATCATGATACATTGCGATATGGCCTGCAATGTGATTGGATTTGACACCCCTGAACTAGATTCTGAAAGCTATTTTTAAGTATGCTTCTTAGATGACATTATTTAACAGATAGGAACTAGGCAGAGGCGCCAAACTTGATTTCATTGAGGGCTGCATCAGGGTTCTGTTTGACCTCAGGAAGATGGGATGGGTGTGGTCAAGGTGGGTGTGGCCAGCTCAATATCACTTGTCAACTCAGAAAACATATTGTATACACATTTTATAGTTGTCAACAGAAAGGGGGGGGGAGTTTCAAAGAGCAGGCAGCAGTGTGGAATCGAAAGTACATTCCATTCATATTTTTCAGAGACTGATTAGATGACAGAAGCTTCTGCCACGCAAAAATCTAATTGGAGAGCATGATTGATGACTCTTGGCTATGGACATTTTTTGTTGGATGATACACCCAGAGGGGTGAGGGGGAAAACAGGATCAAGGGTGACAGTGAATTACATGTCTGAGGGTCGTCTACACCCAGGCATGTTAACTTC